GCTTTGTAGGGATCTAGTTTAGGGATGATAACAGAAACCAGGGAAGTGCTTATATGCACATCACTCAATAGATACTCATTTCTACGTGGGATGTTAGGCAGGGATACCCCAAATGAGTTAATGGTAGAGTTTGAGGACAGTGCATTCAGGACACGATGATAACACCTTAAATTGATTGATGAAGAGAAGAATAGAGACACCTTACACTTATTTAATACCCTTTTTTAAGGCAATTCACATCAAGCAAGGCGGGAGTGCCACTAGCATACAAGGGGTTGCAGAGTATAGAGAACAAGAGTAAAGGGGTGTGTTTGAGGAAAGGATACAGAGAACGGGGAACAAGCTCAGGGTGTCAGATGTCGATTGAAATTACACTTGAAGATTTGAAGATTATAGTCACCGGGGAAGCAAGAAAGGGGAAGGGAGTTCCACAGACGGGAAGTGCGAGAGAAGAATTTGTTTGAGTAGAAGAGACGGTTACATTTAACCGTTTTGACAGTGAAAGGGTGGGACCGAGATGCCAGTTTAAATTCATGTAGTCCGGGAACCAGCGAAAGTAACTCGCAGCCGCCTCTAATCACGAGATCCAAAGTCTTTAGAGGCTATGCGGTGCCTCATTCTCTAGGTAAACAGAGACTTAGATCCTTCGAGGACTCGCTTACATTTATTACGAACAGTAGCGAATAGGTACCTGTTGTAACGAGAACTGTCACGGTGGTATAGCCGAAAATAGTGGTTCCAGTGTGCTATAGCGGACGAGCATACTGGTGTGAACCATGGAGAGTATTGAGTTTTCCCCTGGTATTTCCTGGATGAAAGCATTTATGCCGTCTTTGACCCAAGAAGAAACCTCAGTGGCGCAAATTAAGGGGAGGTTAAAGATGTCAGTCCAAGGGTTGTCACGAAGAAAATCGCGGAGTGAGTCCCAAACAGCATACTTGTAACGAAAAGATGTCTTATGAATAGGGGTTTTCCTGTTTAATAGATGATTGTAACAAAATATCAATAGCTACCTCAGAGTGGTCTGAATTACCAAAAAGACCCTCTTCTTGATGCCAACAAACATTCTCCAAAGATCTTACTTCTTTGGAGTTAACGAAGATAAGATTTTGTTTTTGGTGATGCTCTTCCGAACCATAAAGTGAATTGATGCATTTTGCAAAAAGAATTTTAAAATTTATGTGGTCAAAAGAAATTAGCGACTCTGTTGTGAGACGCAATTTCAGATTGGGCCTTTCTTCCCTCTACACCGTTTTATTGTTATTTATCTTTGTTCTCTGCCTTGTATCCACTTCGTTCGTTCGTTCTATCACAACTACACGTATCGTACGATGTACCCCAACAGAACTCACTCTCTTTTCCAAGATGGTCTACTTCTGTTCATGAGTCGCCAATCACTTGTCCGGATCATAAACATACTAATCATATGGGCATCTGTGAATGGAGCTCAACACACCCGGATGTCCCTCCTCGATTCCATCCAACTATGCTAATATTATGTAAAGTTGACCTAATTTATTGTGGGACAACAAAGAAGGGTCTCGTTTGACGGAACGACGCAATCGCCTTCTTTCAAATTGAAGTCCTACATGCCAGACAAAGACGACCTCTTTTTCGTCGAGGATAAGGCATGTCTTGTTCGCCATTTCTGCCTTTTGATTCGGGTTCCGGTTCACTATGTTTGCTACAATTTATAACCCATTATCAGCTTTTTTTCTCAACCTGACCCCACAGCCATATTGAATTTAAGCATTTTTGGGGTCCTCTCGTCTAGGCTTGAGATATGCTAACTACAGAGAGTTAAAACTTCACTTTAAAAGTCACCTACCAGAGAGATGGAATTAGGTAAAGACAATGAATATTTGCCTTGTCTTGTGTATAGTGGGCTCAACTGCCATTTACCCACAGACTCGAGTATAATAAAAAAAAAAGGTCACAGGATTCAACCAACGCTTTTATCCATATGCCATGTGTCCTTGAGGGTACATAGCCATGCGGATAAAAGTACACATGGCCCAGCGGATAAAAGCGTTCGTTGAATACATTGATTTGACCAAAAGAGTTGTGAGTTCAATAATACCTGGTTACAGCTAAGGTGAACAAAAACTTTGGAGTTGAGTTACAGGGAGATGACTGATACTGAGAAATACGGAAGAGGCAAGACACGTGGAAGTAGAACAATCTCCACCGGAGGACGAAATAAAGGGTTCAGCTCGAATTTCCAATCACCTGAAGAAGGCCGGAGTGCATAACGACCGAAACGTCGTGAATATGGCAACATTGATGAGGACAACAGTCCAAACAATGTAAATAATGTAAATATGACATCTAATATTCAGTTCCAAAAATAATTTTTGTTGTATTTGGACTTTTGCTGGACTACCAATCAATAATAGCTTAATTGGTCTTGTATCTTTGTTTTATCCACATGTTGTGTTCACAGTGGCCTTGTACATTAGAGTCAAGCAGATCGTTTTGGATTTTGAGTCTCCTGAATGATTTTTTTTTTTCGAATATTTGTTAGGGGGAAGATTAAAAGAAAATGGTGGGGGTTAGGTGTAGAGACTCTAATCAGCAGAGAATAGCCAAAATTCCTGAAAAGAGCTTAAATTTTACATTTAATCCATTTAAACTTATTTAACCTTATGGAGGAATAGAGGTCTAGATCATGACTTTCTGATAAAATTTTAATGCATCCAAAACAAAACTGCTCTCTTTTAATCATCTGAGAGACCCCTTTCTGCCTACCGTCAGCTAAACTTCCGGAGAATGACTCATTGCACCTTTTCAGGCTAATATTCTTTCCATGAACTGGAAAGACTACATTGAATCCATTGATCAGCTGCTAAGAACTTTTTCTTTTTTTTTACTGTATCGTGATAGACCTTTTTTCTCTCCAGAATCTATCTTACATATCTATGTCTACCATTCTCCCATGCTTAGAATATTGTTGCCACATATGGTCCGGTACTCCTGCTATATACTTAGAAATTCTTGATAAAATCCAAAGAAGAATCTGCAATATTTTTGGTCCTGACCTGGTGTTTCGGCTTCAGTCACTTTCCCACTGCCGTAAAGTTGCTGCCCTGTACCTTTTTTATTAACACTTTCATGTAAATTATTTGGATGTACTCTTCGCTATGATACGTAGACTTTATGAATTTAATCGCAGTACTAGATTGGCAACACGGTGTCATCAGTTTACAGTCGAATTGGTTAGATATAACCGTAAGTTCCATGCTAATAATTTCTTTTCTCGCACTTCTCGCTTGTGGAACACTCTCTCGGTTCCTTGCTTACCAGCATACTTTGATCCTCAAAAGCTTAAAAGCAATGACAATCATTATCTACTGTCTTCCTAATTACTATTTTATTGTTCTCGCTCTTTAGTGTTTCTTTCTAATTCTTTCACATCCAGTAACTCCTTGTGTCTTAGTAGCTTTACTGCCTTGCTTGTGCTAAATTCGGTCAAATAAATAGATAAAAGGAAATTATGAAAGGAATTGAGTGTATTTTAAATATTTTCCTGAAAATAATTTTCTTAGATTTTTAAAAAATTATTTTAATATTTAGGAACTTAACTAAATGATTAAAAAAAATTATTTCTTGCATTTTTGTCAAAGTTGCGGAGTCAGGGACAAAAAGTAGCAAAATATACTAAAAAGTTGTGTTAATTTGCTTGAATTTTGTGTTATAGGGTCCTAAAATCCACTTGATATAGGACATTTTTGAAAAAGAATGTCAAATTAAGACTATCTGACACTTATAATATTCACTTCAATACGATTCCAATGACTTTCTAGAAAAAATGGCAGAAAAGCAACTATTAAAAACTTCAAACGATCATAACTTGACAAATGCTTGGCGTTAGGACAAAATGAGACCACTTCTGAAATCCTGCAACTGTCTACTTTCCGACTAAAGTATGGTACATATATCAATAGTGAAATGTTCGAAAAAATGCCAAATGCAAATCGAGCTCCCCCCCACCACTTTGATGTTCTGTTGCCGTTAGGTAGATCTATGATTGCCATGGTCCTATGAGGGGGTGCTGAAAAGTGTTTGGATTATTCAAGAAGCCCTTCTCTCACCATAAAAACTGACCAAGAATCTCTCTCTCTCTCTCTCTCTCTCTCTCTCTCTCTGAGCTATTAGAAGAATATTGATCTATCATATGGTCGCACTATGATACAATTAGAAATATTGCCTCAAAATAGATTCTGTATAAATGATTATTTCCATTCTTTGGTGTGTCAGTACTAAACATTATATCAAGGTATCTCTCTATTCTATGGCGATAACAAATATTCATATACAGCCCTCCTATTGGAAGATTCTTCATTTGAAACCGGTTAATTTCCTAGGTATAACTGCATTATTTAGCATGTTCTCTTAGTTCCTCTTAGATAATTTGCTATTAATTTAAATAGGAGACTTGTGGGGAAGGTCCAGAAAGTCTTAGTAATATTTATTGGAAAATTCAGAACATTTCAAAATAAAGGAACAGAAGCAAAAATATAAACAAATAATTTATGTTTATTTAATTGACTTCGTTTGGGGCGAATCCTTTATAAACCGTAGTTTTGTTTGCCTGTGCAGTTGTTAATTTACAAGTCATATTTTGCCAGCTGTCGGGAGTGTGGTTACTTTGAAAACATGTTGCATATCTGTTGTGTATTCTCAGCCCTCAAAAAGGGCAGAAAAATGTCTTAGTTCTTCATGCAACACGCTCAGCCAGTTTCTGGCTGTCTCCTCGGCTCTCTCTTTATATATATTTTGAAAGGCACTAAATTACTTGATACGAAGTTTGGTTTTGGCTAACATCAAAAGTATCTTTGTTCTTTTCATTGGCCATTTTTAAAAATTTCTTTTTCTTTTATTTATAGTGTAAGTTATGCATGGGTACTCTCCCATTTTGGTAGATTTCTAGTCACAATAACTAGACTCGGGACAAGTGAACTTCCGTATCGCTGTAGTAATTTTTCTTCTTCTTCCTCTCTTTATATGAGAGTTGCCTTCTCATTAGTTGAGAGAGAAGGATAGACAGAGAAGAGTAGAGAGGGAAGAGTCGAGAGAAAGGTGGAGAGAGAAGGGTAGAAAGAAAAGAGTAGAGAGGGAAGGGTAGAGAGAGAAGAGTAGAGACAGAAAGGTAAAGAGGGAAGGGCAGAGAGAGAAGGGCAAAGAGAGAAGGATAGAGAGAAGTGTAAACAGAGAAGGGTAGACAGAGAAGAGTAGAGACAGAAGGGTAGAGAGGGAAGAGTAGAGAGAAGGGTAGGGAGAAAAGAGTAGAGAGGGAAGGGTAGAGAGGAAAGGGTAGAGAGAGAAGAGTAGAGAGAATAGAGAGGGAAGGGTAGAGAGAGAAGGGTAGAGAGAGAAGAGTAGATAGAGAAGAGTAGAGAAGGAAGAGTCGAGAGACGGGTGGAGAGAGAAGGGTAGAGAGAGAAGAGTAGAGAGAATAGAGAGGGAAGGATTGAGAGAGACGGGTAGAGAGAGAAGAGTAGAGAGGGAAGGGTAGAGAGAAAAGAGTAGAGAGGGGAGGGTAGAGATAGATTTGGGATTTTATGGAAAGCAAATACCTTAATTTAATTTTAATATTTTTTTAATAAATATTTAATTTTTACATTTGGGCATACCACATGCTGCCTTGGTTGTTATTAGATAATTTGCTACTAATTTAAATAATAGAATTCAAGAGAGTCAAAGAGTTCAGATCAAGTATGAGAGAACTAAGGAGAAAAACTTTATTGCCTAACTTTCTTTTGTAACCTAAGCATGTGCTTACATTACTTTTTGGTTAATCTAAGATTAACATCAGTCAGCTCTCTGGTGGTTAGTGCCTCAGGATATGATAGCAAACAACATGGGAACAGACTGAGACTACCTGTGTTTGCTTTTCACCAATTTCTTTAGGAAAAAACTGAATTCTCCTTTTCTCTGCATTCTGTCTACATTGCAAAATGTCTTTATAAAAATCTCAACACGAGCTTCCCATCATGTTTGTTTCGGATTCTTCTTTGCTACAAATATCCAGTGTTATCATTTTACATCTTACTAAGAGAAAAAGGGGGAATTGCCAAGTGATACCCCACCCCTAGACTTCTGAGATACTAGGAAGGATAAAGGTTCAACTCGGTCATTGTTTTTAATTTCTTTTATTTATAATGTAAGTTATGCATGGGTCCTCACTTATTTTGGTAGATTTCTTGTCACGATAACTAGACTCGGGACAAGTGAACTTCCATAGCGCAGCAGTTCAGTTTTTCTTCTTCCTCTTTTTTTTATGAGAGTTGCCTTCTCTTTAGTTGAGAAGGAAGAGTAGAAAGGGGAAGAGTGTAGAGAGAGAAGCGTAGAGAGAGGGAAGGTAGAGAGAGAGAGAGAGAAGGGCAGAGAGAGAAGAGTATAGAGGGAATGGCAGATAGAAAAGAGTAGAGAGAGAAAGGCAGAGATGGAAAGGCAGAGAGAAGAGTAGAAAGAGAGAAAGACAGAGAGGGTAGGGAGAGAGAGAAGGGAAGACTAGAGGGAAAAGGTTAGAGAGAGAAGAGTGTAGAAAGGACAATGGACAGAAAGAAGAAAGAAAATTTGGGATAATTCCAGAAAAAGTAAAATCAGACAATATGAAAAAAGAATTAGAGAAATTTATTTGAAAGAGAACCAGGAAAAGAAAATACAAGGAAAATTATAAACAGAGAAAGAGGAAGGCACGTGGAGGGGGGGGGATATTAAAAGGAAGTCTTCTAATCCTACTCCTAAAAAGATCTCCAAGCTTGAAAAAAAATTAAGACAAAAAAAAAAATTGATCGTTTAATGAAGGTCTTGTCAAAATCAAGTGCCATATTTGATCTTCCTGTTTATTCTACCGTGTTAGTTACTGACAGTTCGTCAACACTGAAGAACCCTACTTCAAACCAACAGCTGAAAAAAGTCAACAATGCCAATTGTGTTAATAAAGGTAGAAACGAAACCATTTTCAGAAAGTGAGTAAATTTCCTGATACTTGGTGTGTGTTCATCAACAAAGGGCTTTTGAAAGGAGAAGGTTATAAAAGAAAAAAAAAGGCTACATAAAAACACAGAGGAGATTTTACAAATATTTAATCATTTAGCTGTTGGACTTCATAAGAAGAGCTACCTGAGCATCAGTCATCTTTGATTAATTCCTTTAATTCTTGGAGAATTGATTCCTGACTTCATGATAGTGTTTGAATGATACCTTCTGGTACAATAATGAATGCTTAAAGCAGTGAGGCTGTGAAAGGAACAAAGCTGTTTATATTTTATGATTAAATTTTACTCTCGACAAAATATCCTCCTTCAGCCTTGATTACTGCAGCACAAATACTTGGTATTCGTTGCAAATATTCGTCAAAGTATAAGTTTGATAATTGATGCCATTCTTTTTTCAATGAGTCTGAGCTTTTTTTTCATTTTTTGGATGAAAAGGCTTCAGCCTTGCAAATTCTGAGGGTGGCTTCAAGCCACACATTATAGACCGAGAGTGAAAGAGGTAGGAAACGTTACATTTCAAAAATTCTAGAAAGAAAACTAGTGAGAAATTTGTCTAAAGATCCTAGAACAACTGCCAAGACACAAGTGAATGACTTATCCAAATCCGGAATTGAAGTTTCAAAGAAGACAGTCACTAGAGCTCTACTCGGGAATGGACTGTGTGCTCACAAACTAAGAAAAGAAAGCTTCACTTCACCTAAAGAGAAAGCTCCAAGCCAGACTGAAACCCGGAGAAAAGTGATGTATATTAGAAGAATGTCATTTGGTCAGATGAAATTAGAGCTTTTTGGCCATACAGATATTGATTATGTTTGGCAAAAGAAAGGAAAATCATATAACTCAAAGTAAAATATGATGGTGGGAGTATAATACTTGGGGATATTTCAATTTTTCCAGAACTGGGAATCTTTTAATGATGGAAAGAATCCTGAAGGGATAAAAATGAAAGCTTTTGAAAGGAAAAGCATTCAGCAGCAAAACTTGCTTTGGGGTCATTTTTTTTGCCTTCTAAATTCTCAATAAACCCGAAGCAGGATTACCTCCTGAAAGCCAAAGATTGAAATCTGTTATTCAGTAAAAATAATACAAAATTGACAATTAACATCAGGGCTAATAACAATGACCTTGGTATTTAGGGATTTTTTAAAATTAATTTTATTTCTGTCTACAAACAAAAATAATGTAAGCTTCCTAAAATAAAATACGTTGAGAAACACTAGGTTATAAAATTCTTCGCTCTGTTAAACAGCATTTGGAAAATAAATTGAAATCAAATTTTCATACGAGATTTAACAATATTGTCCTTAATTGTATATAAAATCTGTTAAATGATGATTACTAAATGAGGTAACAAGAAGTTGGATGCTACTGGACATGCAGAGGTCTGAACAAAATGTCACCAGACATGTTTTTTGAATACTTATAAAATATTTTGGCAAATCTTTGATTTGTTAAAAAGAAGAAAAAAAATAACTTTTTTTTTATTTCAAATATTCAACGTTTGATTTTTAAGAACAATGTTTTTGCAAATACCTACTTTGATTTTTGGGAATAGTCAGTGTTTTTTTTTAGTTAGTTGTTTATGCAACCTATGATGCCACAGGTAGGTTATATGTTTCCTTTATTGGCTGAGAGGTTAGAACTTTCGCATTCTGACCATGAGACTCGGGACCGATGGTTGATTTCTCAGAAAGGAAACTTCCAGATGTTATCGGACTGGAGAGGTCGATCCTAGTGTGTGGCACGTTTGGAAAGTGCCTGAAAACCATACCCAAACCTTATGAGTGAAATTGAGTAGACGGAACCCTTGTGGGCTGTTGATAGCTGCGTTAGCACGAAGTCACAAGTCATCGTGGCTGAGGGCTTGAGGGTGCTGGCCTTGTTCAAATTGTTGATCATGCTAGATAACATGCTCTTTCCCAGAAACTGTAACTAAGTTCTGCTCAGCATAGTTGCAGTATAAACCACAAGTAGGCTCTGTGGGTGTTGAATGTGCCTGAGCAAGCGTCTGCAATAGGGATTGGCTAGCCACCCTAGTAGACGGGTATCCTCGAATACGAGTAGCCAGTAAGTTAGGGGGTTGGGAAGAAACTCATGGTTGTATTTTAGTAATGACTACATTAAAGCTGGTATACACAGGGTAAGGTTTCATTTTTTCTTATCACTTCCCCACTGACTTTACCCCTACTCCATACATCCCCACTTAACGTCAGTCATTTTTTGACAAACTAAATATTTTAAAAGGGAAGCAAATGTGATGATTAAGAAGAAAATTTTGTAATTTGAAATTTGTGTTACAAAATGTCAGAACTAAATTCATATACTCTCTAAAACTACTCTTTATTCAATGACTTATATGTTTAATGATCCACCCTCCTCAAACTTTTGACATGTTATAAAATCGTAGGAAAAAAATCAAACCAGTATTGTATAAAGGTAGCGTCCTGTTTAGTGCAAATTCAGTTCTTTGGTTTGTGAGACTGGAGTGACCTTAGCAGGGAACAGGCTTGGTCAATGATGTATGGAGCCCTGTACATTGACCAGACTGCATGCCGCGCCTATCTCAGTTGTACTAACAAGATCCAACAGAATACAATATATTGCATTTGGGGCTGGTTTGGCCCAATGAGTTGCCGGAAACTTGTCAGTGTTGACAGTCAACCGCCTTCGGGGTTCCACTCCGGATTATCTATCTGGATTTACTTCCATAGCCTATTCCGTGTTTTGGATATGACCGCAAGGCAATGGAAGTTTAAAATCAGGGTTTTCCTTCCGCTAGATGGACTGTCGTTCTGGGCTGTCGCGCTCCATCGACCGGAAATATATTTATATTGATAATTAAGAGTTTAATTTTCTAATGATACTGAACTCCAAAAATAATTAAAAAAATATAGTAGGCATCTTTTGATCTGGCGAGATTTTTGTATCATCCTGTTTGGTCAAAATTCAATCCTTTGGTAGTAAAACTGGATTGACCTCTTCAGGGAGCAAGCCTGGGTGATAATATAGAGAGGCAGTGCGCTGCCCAGACTACATGGGCCCCAACTCGTCTGTACAGAAAAGATCCAAAGAAGCATTACATTTGGGGACGGCCTGGCTGCATGAGTTGCCGGAAACTTGTCAGTGTTGACAGGCAACCGCCTTCGAATCTCCAGTCCGGATAGCCTTTTCCATAAACTTTTCCGTGTTGACCGCAAGGCTGCGGAAGTTTAAAATCAGGGTTTTCCTTCCGCTAGATGGACTGCCTTCCTGGGCTCTCGAGCTCTATTTACCCGAAGCATTTGGTTCTAAGGCGCCAGTTGTAGAAGGTTTTCGTATTGTACGTTGTCCGAAAACTTTGATTGTGATTGTTTTTCTCATTCTTCAAAATGAGTAAAAAATAAAATAAACAAAACTTTACTGATTTTACAAGTATGCAAATCAAAAGTAGTGCACAGAATATAGAGTTGATTTTTTTTTTCAAATGTTTATTACATTTACCGCCACAAACACATGACCACTATTTCAGACAAACTACATGGTAAAGTATAATTCCTCGTTTAGCCACTAGGCCATAGGAATAAAACCTAGCCAGGAAGAGGGGAGTTTATTAGAAATCAAAAAGAGGAATTGTCAACGGTCAGGAATTAATTTAAGCATTATTAATAAATTTTGGCCATAAAAAAGTAATTTTCTTATAGAGTAGCAACACTATTTATTCAAGATTTGAATATATATACCGAATATATATACCGGATGAAACAACATATATATATATATATATACCGGATATAGCAACAAAATTGTCTGTTTTATCTTAGAAATGATTAAAGACATCTTACTGGAACTCTCCAAGGGTTTTATAACACTAATGGACTCTACTTTGAACAACAAGAATGTATAATTACTCTCCAAGCTTAACAGAAGACTCGTGATGAAATTGATCATAAACGAAGATCATCATTAATTAATAGTACCTACGTATCAGAAGCTCATGAAGGATTGAAATATATATATATATATATATATATATATATATATATTATTCGAAGAGCATTTTCCAATTTAAAGATGATATTCGCCCTCTCTAATCTTCTAACTTTCTGTGCTGAAAAACAAGGTACCTGATAAGTTTCACATACGATGTCTTTTTCAAGTCTTTTTTCACTGCTATTTGGACTGTTATTGCTGAAACCCTTCTCTCACCTGCCAAACGTTTTATGGATTGAGTTGGATCTTTTCTAATTGATCTCTTTAGCTCCAAGTTGAAATGATGATCCCTCTTTCTGTTGTGACCTCCTGATCCAGTTTTCCTCTCTACTGTTCCCTATTTTTTAAACTTAATCACCGTTCTCTTGATGGTTCTTGAATTGACTTTGAAAATAAAGCCAGAGTATGAATGTTGGTACCATTACTGAAGGCCTGAATGATCTTTATCCTCTCATCATTGCTCATTTGGAAAGACAGTAGGTCTGACACAAAACAATTTTAACTTTTTCTCTTTTTAGCTGAATAAATCAAAGGGTTTTTCAGTGATTCTTACAACAAATGATGTCAAGGTGGCTAAACGACTTATCTGAAAACCTGGAAAAAAAACTCAGTTAGTTTAGTGGCTGTTTAGATATTAAACATCTTGTAGAATGGACAATTATACTGTTACACCTGATATATATATATATATATATATATATATATATATATATGTGTGTGTGATAAAATGTACTTTTAAAGTATGCTATATTTATGGGTTAAAGTGGTCAATATCAGAGATAGAGATTATGTATGTATATATATATATATATATATATATATATATATATATATATATATATATATATATATATATATATATATATATATGGAAATAAGCCAGACTTTATTGTTAATTCAATCAAGTATTGCTTATTATTTTCCTATTCATTAATAGTCATCCCAAAACATTTTTATCTTGATAGCCTGGATGGAACACTTCCAGCGGATAGTCAACCAATAATGTTTACTGTTTCAAACTTATGTTCCTGACATTTATCTGACCAAAGAGATTTCTTAATATTGGGACATGTTCCAATTCTT